ATTACGTACTGCATTCTGTTGCTATTTTTCCTAAATCGTGAATGCTTCAATCAGTAAAACGTCAGTACCCAGGAGCTTAGTTTGTACTTTGGTAACTTGTGCTTCAGATAAATAGAAAAGGGGCTTCAAACGTACCTCTCGATCACATTTGGCTTGCACTTATCTGCGTCCTTAGATACTCGGGGCACCATGATTTGATTAAATACAAATTGTGGCCACAGGTATGCTCCACTTCCTTATGATCGCACATATTGACTGCGTAAATCCGCAATGAAAACAGGGTAGCGTGCTTAGGCGTATGAGTTGTAAACTAGGGTATTGGCTGGCTTTGCTTGGGGACAAATTTTGATATGTCGCAGCAGCAGTCCTGATCAATGGCTTTTAAATGATTCCCCTCAATACAGAAAATGGAGGTGGATTGATGGCCCAGGCGCAAAGGAAGAGCTTTAAACATGCAATGTTGAACTGGTTATTACCTCTCAATAGAGCTGAGCGTAAACCCCCCGTTCGGGCAATACCACAGGGCTTATCCATATCGTAGGTTCTAGGTTTTGTATACCAGCAAAGAAAAAACTGTTCGCTGTTGTTGAACCTAATAACGATATGTAGGGGGGGGGGAATATCGTTAATAGAATCAAGCCCAGTCGTGGAAGGATTCCAGCACCAAAACCGAAGTTATTAAGTTCCGAATGGAGTTACGAGGTAAAATGAATCTGGTAACACTTTCGTAGTTGAGCGAACAAACGAGAAGATGAAATAAGAGTGCGGAGCTTCACCTAGGGTTTACCAGTCACGACTGAGATCGGCTCGGCCCCTCCCCAAGGCTTGTTTCGCCGCCCCAACTGACCTGCGCAGGAAAAGCTGTCCGTCGTGGCGCTTTGCGTTTGCGTTTGCTTTGTAGTATTTTGAGTTTCAAATAGCATGATCTTGCAACATGATTTATGCAGGGCTGAAGGTTGAAGGTTCAACCTTTTTCTTCTCGGCAGGTCCCACTTGCACCTGGTGGTTTTTCCCTCCCCCTGAGGTCAAAAATAACCCCTTGACACTGAGGATGAGCATCACACCAAATTCCAGTGCTGTTTATCACCAACAATATGGGGTATATCCTCAACGTTGATTGATTAATCCCGGACAGAAAAAACATGTTCCCTAAATGCTTGTAAGCCTGCTTATTGTGCAGATATTCCCTACTTGTGCATCGACGTTACCAACCGACTTGCCCAAGTGTGGTTGTGTGGTCGACATATTCCACTGAGGCGCAGACAAACATGTAGGCGACGTCAGAAACGAATCGTAATCAAGGAGCGACCAGACAGGGATGCACTTCAGGAGGGACAAGAATGCTGTCCGAGCATTAGGGAACAAGCAGAAGGACGAACAGATATCCCCCAAACTGACTCGGCTTATGCGATGTAGACAACATCCAGCATAGCCTTATCAGAAAACACCCCGTGGCTGTCTAACACGCTGACACAACGACACAACGACACAGGATGGCCTCTTTCCCAATTTCGGAGTGCGGAGCGGCAAAACCGGCGCAACGCGAGCCAATCTATTACGAACATATGCATCAAAATCAAAATTAGAACAACTGACTATTAACCATCTACTCGAAATGTATGTTTGCAAAGGGAAATTCTTAAAAATGAAAAAATTGGGTATCCAAAGGAGAATCCTGCCTGCTAAGGTTATGAGAAAAAGGAGGAAGGTAATCGACATTGGCCAAACTCCACCGATGAAGGGACCATCGTTCATTGTTCAACAATCAAATCGACTAGACTGCATTGTCTAGCCAACCTCGAGACATTTCGACAGCTTTTGACCATTGTTTATACATCCTCGCGCTTTCTGACTCAGCTATTTCGGGTTTGAAGATCGTCGACCTCCTCGACTTGTTCGTTCCTCGTAAAGCCTCTAGGTCTTTGAAGATGCCAATCGCGTATCCCGCCGCAATAGCCGCACCAAGTGCGGTAATCTCGTGCATCTCTGGCCGTGAAATGGGCAGCTGAATAATATCCGATTGGGATTGCATACATATGTCACTAGCTGACAAGCCGCCGTCGACTGCCAGCTCCTTCAGTTTCTCGCCGCTGTCTTTTCCCATAGCATCTAGAATTGCTTTGGTCTGGAAACACACAGCTTCCAGGGTTGCCCGGGCTATGTGGCCTCGTTGAGTATGCTGCGAGAGGCCGAAAATTGTGCCTTTTGCATCATCGATCCAGTAAGGGGCAAGCAATCCGCTGAAGGCAGTAACGAATACGCATCCACCCGAATCGGGCACCGTGGCGGCTTCGTCATTGATTTTTCTCGCATCCCTGAAGAAGCCTAAGTTGTTCATTAGAAAACTGACCCCACTTCCAGCAACAGCAATGCTTCCTTCCAAAGCATATACAGGCGATTAGCCTAATTGATATCCAACTGTTGCAAGTAGACCATGCTTAGAAATTACCGGCGACTTGCCCACATTATAGAGGAGGAAGCAGCCAGTCCCGTAAGTGTTCTTAGCTTGGCCAGGAGAGAAAGCACAGTGGCCAATCAATGCAGCAGATTGGTCTCCAAGGCAGCTCGTGATTTTGATACCGCTCAGGGGACCATTCGCCATTGACCCAAATGCCGATTCGTGAGCAGACGCAACAATTTTGGGGAGTTTTATTTTCGACTGGTCAATCTCAAAGAAGTTAAGCAATGTCTCATCATATTTAAGAGAATGGAGGTTTATGAACATAGTCCTAGAGGCGTTGGTCACATCTGTGACAAAGACGTTACTCTTATTCCCGCCGTTTAGATTGTAGACGAGCCAAGTATCAACAGTTCCGAATGCTAACCGGCCGTCGTCGTATGCCTTTTTCACATCAGGGATATTGCGAAGAAGCCAAACCAGCTTGGTAGCGGAGGAATAGGTGGAGAGTGGAAGCCCGCAAATCTCCTGCAGTTTGTCTGCTCCCTCTTTTGACTTCAGTTCTCTAACCAGTGAGGTGGTCCGCGTGTCTGGCCATGCAATCGCATTATGCAGAGGTTTTCCGGTCTCCCAATCCCATACGATTGTGGTTTCGCGTTGGCTGGCAAGGCCAATAGTCTGGAGGTCCCTGACCGAGAAGCCTAGAGAAGTGAACGCTCTAGTTGCCTGATCAATGCATTTCTCTACCGAGGAGACTATCTCTCCAGGATCCTGTTCATGCCACCTACAAAATTAAAAAATAGATTTCCTATTGTCAGCCTGGTACCCTCTAGGGGTCGAGAAAGGGGAGGACCGCCCACCCAGAATGCTGGCAGATGCGACTTAGCTCCACTTGATGAGAAGCGACTGGATTCCCTTCAGCATCAAAGATAATGAACCTCGATGAAGTGGTACCTTGGTCGATTGCACCTATATATCGACCTGACCCTTGTTGAGGTGGTTGATCGGCTGGTTTCGATGCCTTCTGGGGGCTGCTTCCAGAATCGAGGTTCGTGGATAGGACGTGCTTGAGGACGTAATCGCGTATCATGCCTTGTGAATTTTGACCAGAATACCGGGCAACCTGGAGAGGATCTTGAACAGGATGGATTCGATCCCTATCAAGAAGCGCCACTGGTGTTCAAGAATTTTAGAACCGGAATAAAGACGAATCAGGGTTTACAAAGGGGGTAAAATGATGGGTTGCTGAAAGATGAGGAATGGAATATCAGGAAGAAAATGGGTGAATTCAAGAGACCATGAGGAGCGGAGATCGATGAAGAAATGGAATTGGGGGGAGCGGAAGGACAGTGAGGCTGGGGTGTTGGTGATGATGGAGATGAGGCATGGAGATTGTTGCTCAGGCAAGCAACTTCGGTGGACTGGCTACTTGCAAGGCGTGGGGCAACGACCAAGTGATAACCTTTCCGACCAACTTTTGAGCAAGGGACTTGAAGAGAGAGAAGGACAACTCTGATAACAGTTATTATTGTTAATCAATTGAAACGCGTTCTGCACAATGTAAAAGCCAGCGACGCGGTTGAAATATAATTCCTCCCGTGGTGAAGGAAACAGTGCATACCTTGACACCGTCTCAACAAGGCCGTTCGCTCAGACTTTTACACCAGACCAAGTTCCCGTCACTCGCATATCTAAGCGGCCCAGGGGTAAGTTCCCTCTCTTGCTAGGCCATGGCGCTCGCCCAACATCGATAAGTTCTGTGGTCCCATCCCCTCTTCGCCAGCCTCTAGGGGGAAATGGAAAGATGCGTAATATCCTAACACCGCTTTTAATTGGATAGGAACACTCCTCCGACGGCATGTTGCTCATCGTATAGTACATACAGTACATGGCGGCGCGCATGTCAGGGTACTTCCGCCCATGGTTCCGATCATGTAATTACGTGCATGAAGAAATCCTGCAGACCGCGTTCCCTTTGTCGACGACCGAGTGAACACCGCTAGGACGTACTGCGTCGGGTCAATTGGGCGCCCCACAATGTGGCCATCAACCAACCAAGCGCTGTTTGATCGCGTAAAGCGCGGGACAAAAGGAATCCTCATTCTTTTCGCCGGGCTTGACAACCTGATACTTAGTTCTATTGGCTAGTTCTAGGAGCCTAAGAGGACGGAGGTATGTCGCCCCCCTAACGGTTCCGCTTGGAGCCTAAAGCTTGGTTGTCAATCGAGTCGACTGGTATTGAGATTTCCATTTAGATTTCTAGTGCGTGCAACGACTTATTTTCCAAACCTCAGTCTGTATAATCTGTACGGAGTATGTGGATTTGCATTGTACTGGACATGAACATATACTAACCTCTCCGATTGACTCAACAACACTGATCAGCCATTGTCATATATGTCCTCTTCTTTCGCCATTTTCACCATGGCCAAAATTCGGGATTTTATGCAGTCGTGACACAGCTCCTATGACGAGTATTCCGTCCCTACATACATACTCCCTGGATGATCGGCCAATTCGAAATAAGAAACAGTGAGCAGCCCCGATATAAGGTATTAATTCAGGCGCACTCTGGACAACCTTTGGCAAGTACCGTTAGATTATGTAATGATCAGTTAAAGAGAAGATTTAGTTAATTATCGATAACTAGTTATAGAAATGTGCTTTGCGTTAGTTGAGATTGACCTTTGAGGATTGGACATTATATTTAAAAAAAAAAAAAAAAACCCATTTCCTCCGTCCGATATCGTTATTCATTGATTCTCCCCGCGTACCCCTGGCTGCGCCCTCCATTCTGCGTTGAGAGTATATACCTTAGTTGAAGAAAACCCCAACACTATCCATCATCATCAATTACCTGTTACCCACTCCGTTCTCGCTAGTTTGCGCACTGGTCGTATCGATTTCTTCCGATCCTAGGGGCTTCAGGTCTAGCTAGAATGACGCAGCTCAATCAATGGCATACGCATCAGCCTTGTCGACTTTCTGAAACTGCCATTCCTTGTGACATGCCACTTGCACACGAAGAAGAAGAGCAAGATTAAGTGAAAGTAGTAGTAGCCTGTCATGCGCAGCCCACCATAGAATATAAGATAACTAGTCAGCTTGTATAAAGCAGCACCAAGGAGTCAAAAAGCAAAAAGAAGAAGTTTATAAAGATGTGAGTATCAAAGGGAATGCAGAAGGGGAAATTTTTGTATTTTTCAGTTTGTGCTTGCCCCCTTGGTCCTGTTATCTTTTCCATTGCTGCGCATCTGTTGCTCTTTATCGAACTGCAAGAGGCGCAAGTTATCATGATGCTATTTACTCTTGCAATTCCACCCATGCTCTCCAGTGACAGAGCAGTTATGAGATCAAATCCAATGGGGCTGCCTGGGTGCATCCTCGCGTTTTTTTCCCTCCTCGCCAATGCAGCCATCACATAGGCCAGGGACCATATAAAGCTAGGCCTTTGGATCCCCAAAGTGGCTGGAGTAGCTGGGACATTTTTTCCAGAAGAACAAATTGTAGACACACATAACGTCACCGTGGATGAATAAATAACCGTGTATGGAGTACTTCCAACGAAGAATACCAGGAATAATGTAACCATTGTTGGCCAGTATATATACAAATGAAATATGCAATGTCTTGCTTCGTGGTTGGAGCGATATATTTTCCTTTTTCTGTTTTTCTTTTTAATTTACAAAAGGATTAAGGAAATGGCTGGAATGGCTTCAGAGTGCCATATAGAGGGTGGAAAATTTGGGTACTTAAACCTATGACACAAACAGATACTTGGGCGACTTGTTTTATTGCTCTTCACTGGATTCGGTTGCCTTGACGGCCTCTTTCTCCATCGCCAGGCGCTCCAATTCCTTCCACTTCTTAGTCAGTTCGTTTCGGGATTCGTAGTGTGTGGAAAGGTTCTCACGACCGACCAGACTCATAACGATGCTGGCACCGACAATGAAGGTTAGGACAAAGCGATACATGTGGTACCAGGATGGAGTCCAGCCCTTAACCGCAGAACGCGCGTCGTTATAGTACAGGAAGGTGAAAGCAAAGAACTGAGAGATGAGGGCATATTCAATGGGCATGAACAGGGTAGGCCAAGCAACAGCAGGTGCGACGACTCCAGTAGCATATCGTCGGTAGCCAACCTTTCCCCCGTATCCCGCCCATTCCAAACCCCAGTGGATGGCGCCAAGGAAAGAGAGGATCTATAAAAGAATTAGACCACACAAAACTATGTAAGGAAAACCCAAGACGAAAAACCAGGATATCTGAGGGTGCACTTACCACTGCACCATATCCAACCTGAACAGGCTCAATAAGGCTCATCATCATCTCTGCGGTCTGTCCGGATATGTAATGACCGCTACCGGTGGTAATGGCATTATTCATTTCCCAGGACAAGTAAACAGTTTGGAGCGAAGTCGCAACGTAGGGAATAACACCGGCTAGCCCGAGATACAAGGCTTCTTTGGGGACGTCCTTTAGGGAGAAAGTGTCACGGATAATTTTCTATGGAAATTTGCAGGAAAATTTGCCCAATGTTAGTATTCCATTCAATGGGAATCCCAAATTTCGGATTCCACCCAATTTTGAGGGGCCTGAAGTGCAACACCCACCATATCACCCTTGACACCAGCCATCATATCGACATCCTCCTCTTCCTCAACTTTTGGTGGTGGTACAGCGTCGCTGGTCTTGACAGCAGCCGTCGACGCATATCGGATAAGAGCGGTCGTAGTGGGTTTTCTGGCTGCAACAGCAAGAGATGTTGCATGGATAACGGCCGGTTGGCGGACAGACGAAGTCAATTGGGCCTTGAAAATGGTGCCGGACAAAGCCAAGCGTGTAGTAGAGACATTTGAGCTAGATGCCGCTCTTAGGATAGAGCGAGTAACTGCTGTTCGGAAAAACATGGCGGGCAAGTAAGGATGTACCTTAGGGACGGGGTCAGTCCGAGGGAGTCGGAAACGTATGGCCACCTATCGAAGAGGGCGGGTTGACTGCAGCCTACCTCCAATTGCACTTGAAAACGGAGTCAAGGCTCCTACGAGCGGAGTGGTGAGAGGTTGGTCGCCGAGAATGGCTTTGAGAGGAGAGGGATAAGTTGTCTTGATGTGATGATCAATTTGGTGTTGGGCGAAGTTGTTCAATCGTGATTTGGTGCATTGAACTCTTTGGTTAGCGCGGCGCCGTTAAAGTCACATGACATAAAACTATCCTTTGGTTTCGAATTGAGATCATTGATTATCTGCGTTTTACGCAGTATACTGCACATGAATGGTGAATATGTCATGAAGCAGTCGTAGAAAAATATCAATAGTCCATTCTCTTCATCAGATGAGAACACCTATACCCGGTTCGGAGCTTGGAATGAGAACAAGGGAAGATGCAAACTAAAAGCCACTTTCAGCAACGATTCTTGTAGTATTGTATTCCATATATCTCAGAATAAACCTATCAACTGGGGAAATTTTCTCTTGGGACCCTAATATCAGCGGAGCCAAGATGTCTGCAAAAAAAGGATGTTTTGCGGAGACTTTTTAGTACAATTTTAGCATACAATAAATGTAACGTTTTCTGCGAGGTAGGTTAGTTTATCCTTCTGTGGTGACGTAAACTCGCCTTAGAACAGGCCACGGCTTGTCAACAGTTACTTCCAGCTTCATGTCATGGGCCAACTTCGAAAAATCCTCTAACTATCGCGTATTCTAGTTTGTACCGTGGATGTGTGTACGAAACATCGAAAGCTCTGGGCACAGCAAAATTGCGTTGTCGCTATTCTATGCGCAATAATCAGTAGTGCACCAACTGCCGCTTCCCAACCCCAAGGGAATCCAAACCCATGCGGCAAACCGTTCTCCCTCCAGCATACTAGCAAGGCTTTGGTATGTGGTGTTCCTGAAGTAAGTTGGGCCTGTGAGAACTGTTTGCTAGCCATGTGGGAAAAGTACTTGATCCGTTCCTCTAAATAACCCTCCAACTCCTTTCCCCCGCCTTAGTTCTTCGGGATATCATTAGCCTGTCATCTCCGTGGATACTAACATCTATGGAAATCTAGGGAATCATGGGGGGTTACTGAATCCGTTTAATTCCCATTCATTTCGACTTGGGAGCCGCTCCCTCGCGTCTACTATCGTTCCAACGTCGCATACCTGAAGGAATTTTCCCCGTTGGTCGGGCACGACCGCCGACTGCCACCATGCTAGAAGGTCTTGTCGCGAACCTGTTAAACAGGTTTCTGGGCATGTACGTCAAAAATTTTGATGCCGGACAGCTCAATGTTGGGATATGGTCGGGCGATGTGACGCTACGAAACCTTGAACTGCGGCGGGAAGCCCTCGACCAGCTCCGTCTTCCATTAAATGTTGTCGAAGGCTATCTTGGAGAACTTACTTTGTCAATACCTTGGTCAAATTTGAGGGGCCAGCCGGTGAGAGTCCTCATACAAGACGTCTTCCTGCTCTCTGTACCCAAGGAGGATGCTACCTACGACCCAGAGGAGGAAAAACGACGGCAACATGCCATCAAGATGGAGAAACTCGAAAGTGCGGAAATACTGAAGGAGCAACAAAATACCGACGGGATGTCCCAGGAAGAGCGATTGAAAAACCAGAGTTTTACCCAAAGTCTGACTACCGCAATTATCGACAATCTCCAAGTGGAAATTAAGAACGTGCATTTCCGCTATGAGGATTCCATTGCGTCCCCGGGACATCCTTTCGCCTTGGGTATCACGATCAAGGAGCTCAGCGCTGTCAGCACGGATGCTGAATGGAAACCAACATTTATTCAGTCGACATCCGGCACAAGCCATAAATTGGCTGTTCTTGAAGCCCTCGCCATCTATTGGAACACCGATGCAGCACTATTTGGGTCAGGCACGGAAGGTTACAGCGAAGGCATGGGCCTAGGTCGTAGTGAGTTGATCAGTAGACTCAGGGCCGCCATCAGCGAAGAAAACCATCAGTTCATGTTGAAACCTGTAAGTGGCAGAGCGGGCCTCGAGATTGATAAGACTGGACGGACAGATAGACCAAGAATCAGGGCGAGACTACTTTTTGATGAACTTGGCTTTGTTCTCGATGAAGACCAGTACCGTGATGTGTTGATGCTTGTAGATTTATTTCACTACTTTATTCGGCATCAAGAATACAAGCAACACCAACCAAAAGTTCGGCCCAAGGAAGACCCAAGAGCCTGGCTACAGTTTGCTGCCAATTCTGTTCTTGGCAAAATACACGACAGGAATCGGCGTTGGACATGGGATTATATCAAGGAACGAAGAGATGACCGGATCGCATATATCAACCTATTCAAAAAGAAAAAGAGAGATGAACCTCTATCTCCAGAAGAAACTGCAGAGCTGACCTGCCTAGAAGAGAAGCTTTCCTATGAGGATCTCAGATTTTGGAGGTCATTAACAAGGAACCAACTAAGAAAGGAAAATATTGGGCGTTAAGAAACCTGCCAAAGCCCAAACATGGTCCCGAATGGGTTTGGGGCAGCCAGAAGGGAGGACCAAAGTACGACAATGACTGAGGAGCAAAAACAGGAGCTGTGGGAGGCAATCGACTGGGACGAGAAGAAGGCCATCGCTGAGAGTGTCGAGCTTCCCAAGGACTCCGTCAAGTTCCAGGTAGACTCAAGTCTTAGAACAGGCAGCTTTACTTTGAAACGGGATCCTCAAGGAAGAGCAAACGAGGTTCTGAAACTAGTCTTCGACGGTTTCCGAGCAAAAGCGAAACAACGACCGGATTCCTTTGTCGTAGATATTGACTTAGGAGGCCTTCGATTATATGATGGAACCACAGAAGGCACACTTTTCCCGCAAATAATTCGGGTTAAGGACAGGGTGACAGAGGTTACAGACAAAGCAAACGAAAAGATAGAGAGTCAAGACCTTGAGTCTCGGGAGGATGAAACGTTGGACTTGGATGACAGTCTGTTCCATCTTCAATTGGAACAAAACCCTCTCGATGGCAGTGCAGATTCTGCAATCAAGATGAAACTGACGAGTATTGAAGTTATTTACAACCCCGCGGTCCTCGTTGAAGTAGTCAGGTTTTTCCGACCTCCTGAAAGACATATGGAATCCATTGGCGCCCTGCTTGAAACTGCTGGTGCCACCGTCGAGGAGATTCGACAACAGACCCGTGCCAGTTTGGAGTTTGCACTGGAAGAGCATAAAACAATCAATGCGCAATTCGATATCCAAGCACCTCTCATCATAGTTCCTGAAAGTATTGACAAGGAGAGCACTGTATGTTTGATCGTTGACGCTGGTCATGTCAGTGTAACTAGCGAATTGGTATCTAAGGACATGATTAGAGACTCTCAAGGAAAACAAAAGAGAGAGTTTAGTGAACAAGACTACAAGCAACTGGAAAGTTTGATGTACGACAGGTTTCTCCTAAAGCTCGACTCCACTCAAGTCCTTATCGGTCCTGGAATTGAGGCCACTAAAGCACAACTAGCTTATGGTGTCGCTTCGAGAAATTTCCATATCATCGACCGAATAAGTATGAATTTCATGCTTGAATTGTGCATTGTTCCGAAATCTACTGAACTTACGCGGACGCGAGTCTCAGGTCACTTGCAAGAATTGCATGCCTCGATGTCAGACACGAAGTACAAAAATCTCATGAGGTTGATTGACATTGCGATCCCTCAGATTGATGATGACCTTCAAGATAGCAGCTCTAAATCACTAGGACCCTCGAGGGAAAGGTCTGGGACAGATGCCTCTGCCAGAAGACCCAGATCATCGTCGTTTCAACTGCTCAGCCTACCGGAGATCGCTCTTGATGAAGCTGATTCAGATGCCGAAGAGTCTCGGGGTCACATTAGTGAACCAGGGTCTAAAAAACAACCTACAAATATCCACAAACGAACATTTGAATTCAAATTTACTGTTGATACACTTCGCGGATCGCTTTATCGCTCTGACCCTCACGATGAGAGCGCTGATAGGTTGCTGGTAGAACTAGTCGCGAATCATTTCCAGCTGGACTACTACCTTCGCCGATATGATATGGTCGCAGAAATTATCCTGAAGTCTCTTAGCGTCGACGATTATATCGAGGATTCACCGGCCCCAGAATTTAAGCAAATAATCTCTTCCAAAGGTTTTGACGCAAATGAAGAAAGAGATTTGTTCAACCTGAGGTTCGTTCGTGTGAATGCGAACTCTCCAGAGCTTATATCGACCTATGATTCAACAGAAATGAATTTGGACCTTGCAATATCCACGATAAACCTTGTCGTCACGAGGAAAACTCTTCTAACTCTGTTGGACTTCATCCTTATAACATTCACGAACCCGGATAACAATAACATTAACCCTCACAATAGCCACGAACAAGCCCAAGCAGTCACACCGTTACTGGAACATCCTGAGGAGGGACAGCAGCAGCCTGGTGCTGGGAAAATCCGCATTAAATCGAAACTGGAAAGAATTTCTCTTATCCTCAACGATGATGGAGTCAGGCTTGCTACTCTTAGCTTAAATACTGCTGACGTTGGCATCGTTTTAATTGGCCCGTCAATGAGAATTGAAGCGCGGATGGGTAGCTTGACTCTTTTTGATAATATGAATGGCTCACACTCGGCAGTTCGGAGGTTAATGAGTATCGAAGGAGACGACTTTGCAGATTTCAAATACCAGACATTCGATCCCGAGTCCGAAGATTATCCTGGATATAACTCTGAAGTGTTTTTGCGATCTGGCTCGATTAAAATTAATTTTATCCAGGGCCCTTATCAGAGAATCATCAATTTCTTAGTTAAATTTGGAAAAATGCAAGCTATTTTTAATGCTGCGCGCCAGGCTGCAGCGAACCAAGCGAACCAGATCCAGGAGAACGCTTCCCTCATGCGCTTCGATGTTGTGGTTAAGACACCCATCCTCGTATTCCCTCGGATTACTGAAGAAAACCGACCGAGGGATTTCGTGACTGCACATTTGGGAGAAATTTATGCCAACAATAAGTTCAGCCCGCTTGATGATGAAAGGAATAGCCCAAGTGTCAACGTAATTTCAGCCGGAGTTCGCCATATTCGATTGACTTCAAACTTTTGGTATGAGGACGATTATTGCGAAGAATTGCAGATGATTGAGAAAGTGGACCTCGACTTTACCATACTTTATCTCGACCACCAGGCTGGTATACCTCGCCCGGACATTGAAGTTGATGGGTCCATGTCTCCTATCAATCTCAGAATATCTCAACCACAGCTTAAATTTTTACTGGAGTTGTCACAGACTATCCCGGCTGCGCTGCTGCCAGATCAGGATGTCCAGGAAGCAAAGGCACATGAAACACTGGCTTCCACCACGGTGCCTGCATTGCCAGGCACACCTAGACCGAGTGAGGATTTGACCCCGGTGCAGTCACATCCATACAGCAATAGTGAAGTTGAGTCAGAACCATGGATACGACTTGATATGGCATTCCAGGTTGAAACAATTGGTCTCGAGTTAATTCTGGCGAAAGACCGCCAGCCAGTTGGACCATTAGATGAAGCAAGCTTGTCTAAGTTTTTCTTGAACAATACAAATATCAAGCTTCGAATGCTGAGTGATGGTGCCCTTGAATCTGAACTCCTGGTCCACTCATTTAATATCCGTGATAGTCGAACCAAAGAAACGAATCGCTTCCGCAAAATTATGTCTTTGATCAATACAGATGTCCAGCAGCAGTTTATGGCCAGCATATCAATTTCCGGAGGTGAAGAAAAGCACCTTATCGTTATGCTTACTATTGATAGCCCGAGAGTCATATTGGCCCTGGATTATCTTTTCGCGCTGCAATCCTTTGCAGCCGCAGCTTTTGCGAACGACGAGGAACCTGCAACCGATGAAGATGAAGAGGAGGAGGAGGAGACACAATCAGAATTTCCTTCGCTCGGTTCCCCTGCGACAACTTCGCCATCCGCGTCTGCCAACGGTTCTAAAAACGAGATGACATTTTCTTTCAGGGTCAACATTGTTGATGCTCAAATGATTCTAGTGGCTAATCCGGCAATAACAAATACTGAGGCCATAGTTTTGGGTTCGAAGCAAATACTTTATTCTCAACAGAATGCCTCCACACTGGAAATGACCCAAGTCGGCATGTTCCTCTGTCGCATGGACAAATTTGAGACCAGCCGGCTTCGACTGCTCGATGACTTTGCAATTGCTCTTTCCATGGATATCCAGCCCAAAGGGAAATGCTCGTCAATGACAAGAATCGATGTACATATTGACCCTCTAGTACTCCGGTTATCACTCAGAGATATTCTCCTTGCTGTTCAAATTATGAACAAGGCGTCTGAAATGGGGGCTCAACACTCGGAGGAAATCCAAAGATCAAAAGTCTATAAAGCCCTCGCAAAAACGATCTGCCGGAGGTAGACGCTTCAATTTCCCACTCTCTTAAGCGCTTCTT